CAACAATATGCCAAATGAGCATCCTAATAAAGACTTAAATGGGCTCCCAAACTTCCCCCATAGCACACATCTGCCCAGCATCCTAAAGCCTGCATATGTGTTACCTACACAAGCACCAACAAACATCCATGTAGGTAAGTAAATCTCTGTGCTTGTGTTTCTGAAAATGAAGGGAACTGCCTTAGATCATTAGCAACATTACCTTGTTGAATAAAACCAATTCTGAGAATCATTACCATTGATTCATCTCTCTTGAGGCAGGCTCACGTCTTAGAAACAGATTGATATTTGAAAATGTAAACCCTTATTTTCTCATTTTTCCTTTTCTGTAAAAATGAGTTAGACTAACTCCTGTCTGGTAGAGTTTTGAATACTTTGAAATGATTTTCCTCTTGCTAGTTGTCTCTTATCTCTCTAATTGCTCCTCAAGCCCCCATGGAAGAGAGAGAATGAAAGAATGTCTCGGTATCTCTCTCACCCCACTCCACATCGAATAATAGCTTCAGGAGGGACCCTGATCTGATGCTGCCTGTAAATTTTCAGGACATTATCTTTTTGTTATTATATTTACATGTGCTATCTTCTCTGAGTTCTAATAATTGCTATTAGATTTTTCAGTTTTTGATGTGCACAGTATTTGAGAATTGTGGTGATACCTCTGGATTCCTTTGCTCTTGGCCAGAGTAGTGTTTACTCTGTTTTTTTTTAATCACAGATGCTCCTCCTGCTCCTTCTTGTTCTGAGTAGGGATAATTCCTGCACTTTTTTTCTCCACTTGGAGCAATGTTTATACAAGTAAGCATTCTTTTACTAATGGACAACATCTTCAAAGCAGATGAAAACTTGAGCGCAACCTTTTAAAGCCGTATGTCCTAGTGACAGATATGATTTTATGGAGTTTTATTGTGTTCATATATGTACAATTTACTACATAAGCTTAAAATGCTGAAAAGCAATAGGTACTAAAATTAATATAAAGAGAGAAACAGCATAAGTAAGTAGCTACCACAACTTGTTCTATCCACATGAACACAAATATATTGTTTCATTTTCTTGATTACATGAATAACATGGGCTCGTTGTAATAGCACCAAAAGTAAGAAACATTAAAGTAAAATAATAAGTACTTATCTATGGAATATTCATAATTAACATTTGGTAAAATATTCCCATTCATTATATTCAATGTGTGTATGCATGTATGTATGCTGTTAACAAGGTATTTTTATGTTTCTGTTTTATTTATTGTTGTTGTTAGATGCTATCAATTCAATTCCAACTGTTAGTGAGCCCTGTATTTTTATTTTTACATCAATTTCCTCTTTCATAACTTGTTCAACCATCCTATCATCTCTACAATACACAGAAACAAAATGAAGGAAAACGTAAACTTCTACACAAACTCAGTATTTTTTTACATTATAAAATGTTTAATGCTAACATATTTTATTATACCATAGGATTATATTATAGAAGAAACTCTAATATGCACAAAAAGTGCGCCTAATGTTCAAATGGCATTGGTTTATCATCATAAGTTTTAAAATAAATCCTCACTGAAAGTCCCTATTCTTTCACTCCTTGAGGCCAAAATGTGCATGCAGTTTGAAGTAATGTATAGTTCCAACTTGGTTTTAAAAGAGGATGTCACAATTGTATCACCAATCATGAGAATAATGATATTACTTCCAATAAGTAATTTTGCATATTATTTATCATAACTCACTAAATTTGTCCTGAAAAAGTTGATAATGTGGGAAGACTTAAAATTACAAAATTACTAATATACTGACTTGCTATTGACTGTTACCTGTATATATTTAGAGATATCGATCTGTTGAAATTCATTTGTATAACAACTTTCTCAGGGCCATTATGACATCCTTATTCCTTAGACTGTATATTATGGGGTTGAACATCGGAGTGAGAATAGTATAGAAAAGGGAAAGGA